TCTGCCCGTATATTATTGGCAAGTCGTTAGGCTTGCTGTATTTTATTGACATCTAATCAGTAAATTTAGACAAATARCCACATACCTGTGATAACCACTGGTTAATGTTTAAAACGACCGGAAATCAATGATCTKTTATTCTTCAGGACCCCCATGATCTCCCAAGAGGGCCATGCACAGAAAAGCTGGAATATTACTGAGGATGACCGCTGTTTGGAAATGTACTCGAAGAATTTGAGTTTCGTGCGCTGGGAATAGGATTCGTGATTAATTACTGGAAACGGGAAGCAAAACTGCTGAATACATTGGAATGGAATTCTTTTTTTGCTGGCAAAAAAACATAAGGATATACAGAGGTAAGCAAATCCTGCTCTCTCGATGTAACTAAGATTTGATAGTATTTATCATCATCATCACCTTRGCATTCCAGTTACCACCGATTTAAACCGCTTCACAGTCATCACACGGTATTTGGTAAATCAYTCCGGTCTTCTTGTCTAAAGGAACGGCGTCTTTTGGCTTGGATAACATCTGACGCAGTGGGAGGTCTTTAGGTACCAGAACTAAAGAAAACATGGCAAGTTTTAAATAGGAAAAGACCCATGTATCTGAGTTATCAGAGCATGCCAACACTCAAGGACACAACATCTCGTGGAAGAATGCCAAGGTTCTCGCCAGTGAAGCTTCTTGGAACTGAAGATGGTCAGAAGCCTGGTTTATTRCCAGTAATAAACATGCACTGTTTAACAGAGACTAAGGAGGGACATTCCCTGAAAGTTATCTTCCTCTTTTATTGAAATAGAACATCTTTTAGATTCATATTTTTACATGCACGCATTTTTTTAATTATTAATAATATTTTTTTTAATCATTTAATTAGCATCTAGCGGGCGCAATAGATTGACACGTATTGTTTGTTTTATTCGCAATAGTATAACTGACTTAAGATTTGTAATTTCATTCATTCCCTGACGATGGACCAAGAGGTCCRAAAGCTTGGAGAGTAAAGTTTAAATTAACGTAGAAAAAAAGGCCTTGATTTATACAACTATGATACCTACGTACAACATACTTAACTTAATGTTATTATTATCATTAATTAATTATTATTTGTTATTATTATTATCAATTATTTAACTGGAAAGTAAGACAAATCAATTTTGAAGATTCTCAAGAAAATCAATTTGTTTGATTTCGAGTAAATTGCCTAAATAGTCTTAAGGTCTTTGTTTTTCTTATGTTCAAAGTCAAGRCGGCGAAAAACGCCACTCAGGTCAAGGGAAATACCAATAAGGGTTGGTTCACAGTTTGACATAAGCCAAAGCATAAGAAACATAAAATCTTATGTTTATGCTTATGTAAGCTTATGTACGCCCGGTTCACAATTTGGATTTCACTAGCAAAAGTATAAGCATAAGAAAATGGAAAAGTTTCCATTCCATTCCATTYCTTATGCTTATGCTTATGTCAAAGTGTGAACCAGCCCTAAGCAAAAGTTATAATGTAGTGTTTTATTATTAACTCTTGGCTTTTGTCTCATCCTGACTTTCAAATAATTTTATTTCTATAAATGTTTTGATACAGTACCCATAATTTTCATGCTAAAATTTGCTTCAAAATACCAATCAAGCGAATGAATACTCTTGCTAGATATGCTGTAAGTTTGCTTATCATCGTACTACAAACAACATTTTTCGAAACTCTTTGAATATGAGAGACAAAACATTTTTAAAACCAACGATAAATCTGTTCAGTATGCTAATGATCTGATGTAGCATCAGCTTGTAAACAGGTCTCGTGATTGGTTTGTAGTTCCTAGAATTATTATAGAAAGTGACCTGTACGTCTGGCGACGCATAATTTTGGTGGATTTCTTGGAATAGTGAAATTCAGGAACTCCAACCAATTTTTTTTATAAACTTATCCCAAGACAATGAAGTCAATTTGGCTCATATTTTGGGAAAAATTCGAATGAATATCACTGGGATCATGTATGGAAACCGGATATTTTGGCCTAGTTTGTCTGGTCTTCATACATTTCTTAGTAAATTTTGGAGTTTTTGAATGGCTGTATCTCACTCAGTATTGACCCGATTAACGTCAAACCTCGGAATCTTTTCCCGGAATCTTGTAGAGTGTCATATTCTCAGCATCATTAAGGCATGGCTCTCAGATGAAAAACTGATTAGCTATATCATAGCCCGTTTTCTACGAATCTTCCCCAAACTTGGCAAGTTAATGTCTTTTGTGAAAAGAAGGAACCTTAGAGCCTTGGTTACCATGGAAACTAAGTCACGTGACCACAAGGCCGCCACCTTGGATTTTTAAACAAGCCGTTTGTAAACGTACCAAAACATCTTTAAAAGTCATGAAAATGCAGATTACTATTCATATTTACAATACCTATATGGATCTAATTGGATATCTTGGAAATTATTTTAAGTTTAATTTTTAGAATATTTTCTATTTTTTCCAAAAAATTAAAAATATTCTAAAAATTAAACTTAATATAATTTCCAAGATATCCAATTAGATCCATATAGGTATTGCAAATATCAAAAGGAATATGGATTTTCAGGACTTTTGAAGTAGTTTCAATACGATTACAAACAATTTTTTTAAAATCCAAGATGGCGGCCTTGTGGTCACGTGACCTGGTTTCCATGGTAACAGATATGCGGTAATTGCTTGCCTTGAAGAATTACTACTACGAGCCAAATTTGGGAAAGATTCATAGTAAACTGTCAAAGATATGAATAAATAACTGATTTTCCATCACTTCCTCAAAAGAGCCATGCCTTAATGGTTTCTTTCTGTGTTGATTATCACAGTCTCCTGCTTGACTTCCGTAATTATTCCTTGTCGTGTGCTGTTGGTATCGAGAGCATACTTATTTTTATTTGACTGCCTTAAAACCCTTCAATGCATATGAAATTAAATGAAAATATTTGTAAAAGATACATCTTTTAGCGACTTCATTTAGAAAAAAATCGTTCGACGATTTTTTGAATGCCGATCGATATTTTCTATCGCTTTTGACAACAAATGGGGTCATTTAGCTTCATTTCAAAAAATCCATAACGTTAGAAAGAAAGTCACAATTTGATTCATACTCAATAAGGACAGTGTCTATATCCGTACCTATATCCTAGCTAATAAAAATATTGAATCCACTAAATTAAAGTCCCGATTTTGAGGGTATAAAGTTGACACGCTGGAAATAATAGTAAAAGTCCATGAAAATATTCATCGCGTAATAATTGGAAAACGCTCTCATACATTTTTTTCATATTGCAATATGCTGGGTGTCTTGATGAATACTATCGACTGGTGCAAGTCGCTTTGAAAGTTTAGGTCTATTTTTCGAGAAAATAAGCAGTAAACGATTTCTATGATGTCATCATTACGTCAAAATGAAAAGGCCACTTTAAACTAATTTATCATTTTTGAAACCTTTAATCCTTTAATCCCTGACACTGTGTGAAAAGCGCTTGCAGATCGAGTTATTCAAGACGAAGTTGTAGCCGTTTCAATGTGGCTAGGTGTGCCAGACCAAAACTACCCACAGCCTCCTTAAACATAACTACACACAGTCAATGTACTATTCAAAGTCATTTGAACGTACTTAATTATGCATGCGATTCATTCACATGTCCCATGGTGATTAAGCTTATTATATTAACCACTCCTTACATAAATTCTCGCCGGAAAGAAGCTGACAGGAAGCAAATCTTTATTTCTTCTTTAAGTAACACAGATCGTGCGGCTCTTTGAGAAGTTGGTCTAGAGTACTTATTTTATTTATTTACATTCATATTCTAACAGGAAGCTTCTTCACTTATAAATGTGATTTTCAAGAAGGTCCTGATAAATAAGATATTTTGACAATAATATGCAAAAAGAAAATTTGGAGGTTGAATATGGGTGATCAAGAACCGGCGGCACCGCAGCAGGAAGCTGTAAGACAAGAAGTGGAACACAACATCGCAGTTCAATGTCCAGTGGCGGTTCAACAGCCAGGCGACGCTCAGCCTTCAAACCCAGAACAGAACCAAGCTGCCGCTACGGTATGTCTAGTCCCGCTTCTCTTTATTTTTTCGTAAATGTCAACTCCCCGACTTCTCGTGGATAATGTAGTAGTAATGTAGCAAGGACTGCGCGCAGAACACCCTGAAAAGTGGGAGGGGTGGGGGACTAGGATTTGAAAACGTAAGAGATTAGTCAGAAAAAAGGGGGGTTAAGAATCGAATATATAAGAGAATAGTACGGAAAAAAGGAAAAAGTCTCCGCGGTGGCTGTGTAGTTTGTCAATTGCTTACAAATCGGTCAAATTTCCTTCGTTATGTATTTATTTTTTCCGTAGCTTTTGGTGGTTATGCAAGTTTTTGTCGTTTGTCTTTTTACAAGCTAGCGATTTGTTAGACTTTTGCAAAGAGTTTTTTAATTATTCTCTTACCTATCGGCGTAGGTACTAAATTTATTATAGGTTTTTTCTATTTCGGCAATCTTTTTACTTTGACGGTTTATTTTCGACAAATATTTTGCCTGTCACTGGGGATGTTTATTTCAATAGCCAAACTATCACGGCGTATTTGCAGGAGCCGAGACACTGTTCTATGAAAGTGAAAGCAAAAGTTTTTTGTGAGTCAACTACTATAACTAGGAAAGCACGGGTGGTGTAGCGGTGAGAGCGCGCCGCGGGTTCGGTGTAGTATGTAAAAGATTCAAGTATCCAATTTCAACTTGCGAGCCTGGGCAACGTTGACATAAACTTATAAATACACTATAACACAGGATATAAAATCTAATAAAAATTTACAAATTAGTTCAACTTGTATGGCCCTGTTCAAAGCCGAAGAGCAACCCCCGCGCGCACGCGTCCCCAACCCCGAATTCCTGAACCTCCCCTGTCCAATTAGGACAAGAGAAGGTTTAAATTTAAATTAAAGGTTTAATTTTTTTATTAGAGTGCAATTAATTTATCCGTGAAACACTAATTACTAAATAGTACAAAATAGTGCTAATTAAACAATAGMAAACAATGGAATTTGCATGAAATTGTGCTATTTAGTAGTACTAAAGTTTCACGGTTATATTGTTTGCACTCTAATATTATTATCATACAATATTAAGGGACTAGTATCCAGTCCCTCACGACTTCAAATCCGAAAATAGTTTCCAATTCAAAAATTACAGATAAATTATTCACCTTAAACATAACTACACACACTCCATGTGCTATTGTATTTGAACAGGACGAAATGGGTCTGTGGGAACGATTACGAGCCATGCGTGATGGAATAATGTGGGTAGTAATCTTCAGTTTTGTTGTTGGCCGATTGGTCTTCTTGATCATGTACATCGTGTGGTTTCATGACTGCTTCTTCAGAGAGTTTAAAATGGGAGCGGCATGCAAAGATTTCACTCTTTACCCTGAACCAAAGATGATTTCTACAGTTTGGCTTATAATCGTCAGCATTACATCCGTGTGTCTAATCAACTTCGTCTGGCAATGGCACGGTTCTTCACCCTTGAAGTCAATCTTCAGACATCTTTATCGTAAAAAGTACTTCTGCAAGCTGTGTGTCATTACCATACTGGTAATTAGCTACGACTCGTTAACTATTCGTGCCAGAGAATTTGAAGTGAAAACAATAGCTTTATACTGTGCGTATATACTCGAACATATCACGTCTGCTGCACTCATGTTCACATTAAACTTCGTTCCAGAGTTCGTCAAGAATGATGTACTACAACGTAATCCGAAATATTATGGTTATAAATTAACCTTGCTACTCTACTCGATCGAGAATTATGTCCTATACGCCTTAGGAACTGTTGTAGCTGCGTACAAACTGGTTTCAGTTCCTACAACTTGTAGTCCCACACCTGAAATTCAAAACAACACCGACTGTTACGATGTCCTAGCTGTTACCATGTTGTTTCTTCTTGTGAGTGTCCTCGCTATCCGTCTCACAGTTGGAGAATTCTTTCTGACCAAGTTCTTCGAAGAAGATGTTAATGTTCTCGACCCCCCGTCGCAAGCTCCACCGAATTTACCTAATTCGCCAGTGACTCAACGCAAAGAAGAAGAAAAAGAGAAAAGAACAGGGACAGAGGAGACAATCTTGGAAAAGGATAATCAGTCATGAGAAATAGAAATGAAAGCCCAACCAAAAGCCATGTATAATAACCAAGCAACTAAGCAACCCGAAGCATGGAAACAAGCAAGAAAGGATAAAAGGAGAGATTGAAAAATCGGAAGATGAGATTTCATGTGCATAGATTTTATCTAAAATACTTTAGGTTTGTACCTTTCATGTATACATAGGTGAACAGTGATAAGGTGAACTCAGAGGTGGATTCAGGTAGAATAAAAACGCAGAAAGTATAAGATATAGAATTATTTATAGTAACTCATTAGAGTTTCTTCTTTCCTTGATTATTGATGTTCTATTCGACATCAAGTAACTGTCTTATTTATAGTATATACTGAATAGTATTTATAGTATAGTATAATTATTTATATTTTTACTACCTTTCAATCTACTTTAAATTCTTAGCYTATTGGTATTCATACTTGGTTATGTGCTTGTTACAGCCCAATACGTTACGAAAGGAGGACGAGTGGTACGAAGCCCCAAGAGACTARGATATTAGTACCCTCCCCGGGTGGGGAATAAATTGTAACCCCCTTAGGAATCGAATTTCGTGCTGACATGTTTGTAATGAAGTCAACGTCTCAAGTAAAGTTGTTGAGTTGTAAAAAGCGTTTTCTGTCGTCAGTTCCACAACATTTAAGTTCATTGTGTGGTAAACGCGCATCTACGAGGAAAAGATACTACGGCTTATATTGCTCAGTTCCTCGGCGACCATTCAAAATTTATGTACTCGAGGCCATCTTCAGATATTAAACACATACAAAAAGCAGATTAAATATGTCGGCCACATTTTGAAAAAGAATATGAAACTTCAATACAACCTGAATCGTTATCGCTTATTTTTTACAGACTAGAAATTTTCGCAGCTATCGAGATACCGTCTGCTAGCAGGGGCGGATCCAGGATTTTTTCAAAGGGGGGTTGTAGCATTGATTGAGGTGGTGGAGAGATATAGCAGACCAAAGGGTTAGGGAAACGATTAATGCTGCAGGCGAGAATGGTTGTTTCAGGTCCCACACACGGCGTATAGAAAAAAAAAGCGAGCGAAATGTGTTCGGCACCCCTGTTTTAATAAAACTTGCGATGCTGTTGGTGTTGTCATGAAAATAATAATAATAATAAATCACGATGGCCCTCATGGTGGGGGTTGCAACCCCCAAAACCCCCACCCCTAGATCCGCCACTGGCTGGCTATCAATGAAGAGTATCTCAACTCACACAAATACAATGCCTTATTTCAATCTCTTGAGTAGTTTCATGTACTGAATGGAAATTGCAAACATCATATAAGACTTAATTAATATTAAAGTTATCATCTTTAAGATGATAACAGTTTTAGAATAAAAAGTATCAATTACTTTATTTGAGATTTGCTCTGTTTTTCACTGTGAACTTCGATCTTGATATTCGTTTCTAAGGAGATTCTCTACAGCTTTGTAAATGTAGCTAATCTGCATTTTGCTTCAATTTTAATAAACATTCAAGCTGTGTCTCCGAGCTTCACGCTTAAATGTTTTCCCCCCCTGATGTATACCGCAATATGCGTCTTGAAACACCTTGAAAACATTTCAAGTGATAACTCTCTTAATGATATTAGTTATTGGGCTTTCATATTGGAGAAGTTCCAATTTCTGGAGAAAAAGATGAATGATTTTTTAAAAAATTGTAAGTTTAGCCTGTCTATAAGACACAGATTTAGAATGCGCACATCGTTTCACCAGTTAATGACGTGTTGTTTTTGCGACCCAGCAGGGGAACGGGGAACCCCCTTCAAAATAAAAGTTACGTAAGATATATAAAAATATATTCATTCTTTCATATTTTTCTCCAGAAAATGGAATTTCTCCAATATGGAAACCTAAGAACTAATATTATTAAAAGAAGCTTTAGCTCTCGCTTAGTCAACATTTATGGGGCGCCGATCCAGTCAATATTCTCATTATTTATTTCATTGCTTATTGTGTTTTTATTTTGATGGTAATTATATCTAATTTT